ACTAATAAAAGAAATTTACAAAGGAAATATCATAGTGATATAAAGAAATGTTTAACCCAAATTAACAGTACTCTGGAATAGAATTTCTGCAAATCTAGTAACTATAACGCAAGACTATTCTTATTATATATGCAAGAATAATTCAGATAAAAACAATAGTACGGTTTTTAGTTGTCAAAAATAAGGTTTCAAGTTGCAAAGTACTATATTTTGATACAACTTAACTGTATATTTCAAAAAAAAAAAATCATTTAAAGTTAAAAGCCAATATCAAAATAATTAAATAAAGTATTTATCTTATTGTGCTTCATTTATTAGATTTTTTTGTTTTTTTTTGCTTCAGACTTCATTTTCTAGTATATATTTGCTGTATATTCCTTTATTTTTTTATTCAAATGTTTGTCCTTTCTTTATTGTTCAGTGATACCTTTTCTTTTGTTGAGCAGTTCATTCTATCTTTTATTAAATAGTTTGTTTTCACTTGCTATCAAGAGTTAGCATTATATTTTTATAGCTTAATTTTGTTAGCTGCTTTATATTTATGCAAATATTTAGCTAATTCAATACAGAATCATGCTTTATCAGAAGTTTCAGTTTCACTTTTGTTGACAGTCTTTACAAAAACTTTCATTTTTTTCATAGTAGTAGTAATATGTTGTGGAAATTTAGGCTATTATATTATAAGTTTATTCTTCTTCATTTTTCTGTATTACCTAAGTATCCATTTTAGTATATTTTATAGGCCAAGTATCTATTTAAAACTTTGTTTATTTTTAATTTTAATAGGAGTCATTTTTTTTGAAAACCAGTTAACATCTTATGAATTGGTATTTTCTCTAATTCATGAAGAACTTGCTAGACAATTATTCTTAATTGGTATTAATTTTACATACAATAATTTTAAATCCTCAACATCTGCACTAGTAACTTTTTATAAAACTATCTGTTTTATAATTTTAATATTTATCTCTCTAAAATTCATCCTATTATTGATTCTTGAAGAATATATCATAGATCCTGCTTGGTTCAGAATGCAAAAAATTTTTATTGTTAATACTATATTAACTAGCTTATTAAAATTAAAGCATTATTATGACGTTGATGAATTCATAGCATTACACTACATAAAATGTGTGAGTTTTATATTAACAAGTTACTTTGGATATTTTGTCAGATAGTTTGAGAAAATAAAATGGCATGAAATTCTTGATTACATTTTTAGTGCCCGGTTACGTGCACATAATGAAATAACTTTAGAAAAGTTATTACATGACCTTGATAAGAATAAAAAGTATTATGGTCTTGATCTTGTTTCTTTGCAGGAAGATTCAGAAACAAAAACTACGTTCACTTCATACATAATGAAAGAGATTTTAAATATTGAACAATGGATTAGGAATAACTATAACATTCCTTTCATCTTTGGAAAATGTGCACAATGCAATCGACCAAACATATCTCCAACTTGGTGCCAGGAATGTGATCCTAAACTAATATCTGAAGATTTGACAAGTGGAGACCAGAACATTGATAGTTGTATCAAAGAATTTCAAAAAAAGGCTCTTTCATACAGAGATGTAATTGAATGGGTTCCATTCGATAGATTTAGTGATATAAAACTAATTGGTAAAGGTGGATTTGGTTGTGTTTTTTCAGCAACATGACTAGATGGTACACACGAAATTTTGGGCAGTATGTTCAGCTTTAAGAGAATATGTAATAAATCATCTATAGTTGCATTAAAGTCCTTACATGGTTCTAATAATTTAGAATGTTTACAGGAATTTAAAAATCATATGGAATGTAAATTAAATGGTATCGGGCTTAAGACATATGGGTTGACTAGAAAGACAAATACTGATGAATATTTTATAGTGTTTCAATATGCCAATAGAGGAAATCTTCGTGAATTTTTAGCAAATAAATTTAAAAGTCTTACATGGCGAGATAAATTAAAGCAACTTGTATACATAACATATAATTTAGCAAAAATTCATGAAGCAGGATATATTCATAGTGATTTTCATAGTGGAAATATTTTACTAAATAAAAATCTCGATGATGAGATATATTTATATATTGCAAATCTAGGACTATCAAGAAAAACAGATTGGGAAAATTTAAATGATTCAGAATGTTTTGGTGTGTTGCCTTATGTAGCACCTGAAGTTTTAAAAGGTCATAACCCTACACAAAGTTCTGATATTTATGGATTAGGTGTTATTTTAACAGAAATATCAACTGGAAAATTGTTCTTTGGTGACATTTCACTGGGTATTAATTTTGCTATAAAAATCTGTGATGGGTTACGACCTGAATTAGCTCCTAGAACACCTGATTTTTATATTAGTTTGGCTTAAGAATGCATGAGTTCTGATCCCCAGAAACGATCTAATATTAAAGATATTCATTTAGGAATTTATCAATAGTATTGTATGATGGCAAAATTTTTAAAAATTACAAAAGAAGAAATAAAACAAAAATTTTCAGATGAGGAATTTGCGATAATACAAAAATTTTTAGATTCAGATAAAATAAACAAAGGATTGGAATTTAATTTGCCAAAATTTTCAAACTCTCAATATTGATATTAATTCACAACATTCGGTATGATAATATTGTCGTTATCGGTAAAAAATTTTTAAATATTAACAAGTGTTTAATATTCTTTTAGTGTGGGATAGTAAATTAAGCAAGCATAATCAATTCAGATGATTATTATATTGTTATAAATTAAGTGCTTGCAACGCCCATATTATTAATTAAAATATAATCATATAGGAGAATATGATCATGACTAAAGATTTTCTTTGCCCTATCAAAAGTCATGATGGTTTTAGCAACTTCAAATATTCCATAAGTATAACCTATTTTAGCAGATTTGATCTTTTTCAATTAGGATAACAATTACCAATCTCATATGCACTGTATGCATTTTCATACCAGAAGATTTTTGATAATAAATGAATTTCTTATGTTCATCTTTTCAACTCCAATTCTAACAAGAAAGTTAGTTATTTTCTTTATAAGTTTCAAATTTACTTTATATTGTTTTAGAAGAAAACCTCCTTCATCACTATGTTCATTTTTAAATATCCTAAAAAGCTTGCATAATGACCATTTATTTTCTAATGTTGGATCCACTACAAAACCTTGTTGCCTGATACGATAAAGTAAGAAATTGTATAAATTCTATGAGAAATTTCATTATCCATAAAAAAATTGAAGGTGAGTTCGTTTTGCGAATTTTGATATAGCATTAGATAGTGGTTATTGTTTTTAAACCCCATTTTACTTGATATAAAAGAATTTTGTAGGAAAGAAAAAAAAATTATATAAGCCCCAGATGCTTTCGATAATGGCTATATAATTTAGATATAAAGAACTGAAAATCTATTTATAGTGATAGTGATATTTTTTTTTTTGATTTCTTAGGTTATCGTTACGGAATAAATACCGATACCAGAAATATCGTTATCGTTATATATGTTGTAAGTGGGAATGGAATTTCTGTGGATTTGGAATTTATTAATAAATTTAGTTTTTTCCATAGAATTATTCTATATAACCTATACCCTAACCCTAACACGAACCCTAACCTTAACCTATTCTGGTCATTAATTTAATTAAAAAATTCTGTATCCACTTAAATTCCGTTCCCACTTACAACATATATAAAGTTAAAAATTTTTTTTTACAATTTAAAGTAAGAATAAAGTTTGTTTCATGGTTTATCTTAAGATTTATCTGTTATTGTAACCAAGTTTAAGTTAAATGTTAATATGCTTTTAGGAATGTATTTTTTTCTCATAATGTTAATCAGGCTAAGGTTTTAGTTAAAACGGTAATGGATGATTATTAGTTATTTAACAGTTGAGACATAGGTACTAAAGTCAAATATTTAGGAAATAATGTAATGTAATTAGGTTAAATTACCAGAAATCTTAAAATTTTACACAGAATAGAGGTTTAAACGTAATTTGATAATTAAAGGAAATTTTTTTGTTCGTTGGTTCGAAAATTTTTTCGTACAGTTCGCGATCATCATATCATCTACCTAGGAAAAAAAATCCGAAAAAAAATCAAAAACATAAAAAAATCCAGTACAAATTCATTAAAATTTAGAATAGGCACATAAAACAATACTAGAAAATGATTTCCCGTCATCTCAACATCGCAACTCACATGAAGAAATCATATACATGTCTTAATGCATCTATATTCGAATAGTATCAAAATCTAATATCAGGGACATGCGAATTTTGTGATTTGCTGTGATCGAAGTAAATCACAGTAAATCACAGAAAACATCGATTGCAAAATAAAATGTAGTATTAATAGCGATATCGATAATAGTATGGTCAAATTTAATAAAATTATTGTTTAGTGATATAATCTATTATTATATATATATTATTATATAATTAAAGCACAAACGTCTGCAACCACTTTCAAATCCAGTAAATCGGGTACTTAGAATGTGGCTTTACTATGTGTACGAATTGGGCTCAGTTCTGAGTAGAATAAACATTAACATCATTCCAACAAGGTTTTATCTAATTAAAAATTTTAGTAGTATAGATAACGAAGCAAATTTTCTCCAAAATTTAAACTCAGTTACGTAACCTTTTTTAAAAGAGATTGTTATATAGTATCATCGCTGTAGATACTCTGAATTTACAAAAATAGATCCATTAAATAATTTTTTTTGGTTAAGGGATGCGATTCGTTATCCGTTTTTTTTATTTAAAACCAACGGATATCCTGATATTTGAAATACACTGTTAACAATTTTATAATAATTTTGTTATAAAATTAAAAAATAATATACTAGCGCATGGGTTTAATTTCGTAATAGTTACACATTCTATAAGGTTATTGCTGATTGGCTAAAAAGTGATTTCCAAATGTATATAAATTCACACCATGATTTTGTATTACGTATAAACGCTTTCTTTCATTTTTTAGTATAATCAGTTATGTCTAAAAATTTTACTATTATGTCTGGTGGGCAGACAGGTGTCGATAGAGCAGCATTAGATGTAGCTCTAGATTTTAAAATTGGAGTTACAGGTTGGTGCCCGAAAGGGCGGATTGCAGAAGATGGAATAATTCCTGAAAAATATCCTCTTATCGAAACAGACACCGAAGAACATTCACAAAGAACCGAAATGAATATTAGAGATTCAGATGCAACATTAATTTTAATTATATCAGAACCAAATACTTCTAGCGGAACTGCTCATACTATCAATTATGCAAATAAAATTAGAAAGCCATTAAAGATTATTTATCTTAGTAATGAAAAAGATCTTGAAAATGAAAATATATCTCAAGTTCTTAAATGGATAAAAGATAATCATATCAAAAAATTAAATGTAGCAGGGCCAAGAGGAAGTCTAGATCCTGAAATCTATAAAAAGTCATATAATTTCTTGACCAGTTTGTTAATTAGATTAACTGAATATAATTAAAAAATTTCATGTAAAAGTATGCAATAATAATTTTTTTTTTAAATTATTATAAAGACATTACGTATAAGTATTAAATAGCTAACTAATAAATAATTCATGACCTTTTTATTATAAAATTATACAGAAATTTTGTCTAAATTAAATTTCAGCTATTATTTACTTATGTCTTTTGTTTATGAAAAAAAAATTCTTATTTGCTTCTTGTAAAATTAATTTTATTCTTTATATTAAAGTAAAAAATCAATTCCACCATTTAAAAAATTTAATTCATATTTATGTTTGTAGTACGTATATATCACATTTGCAAGAAATTTATTTAAAATAAAAACTTTAATTTTTATATTACTGCATTTTATCTTTTACAACGCTTTAAAAAAAATGCAAAACGTATAATAGACAACACTAAACAATGTTATTTAGTGTAAAAACTTTTATAATAAATGCTTGACTAAGAAGTAACCTAGAAATTTAAACGGATAACTAAAATTTGAATATGTAGCGAGTTTTAAAGATTCTTTTTATCAATATTCAATTCGTTCAATTTGCTACCTGTTAAATAATATTATTTATTAGATACAATTTTTTAGAGTAGTACCGCTTAGTATACGAATAATATATTGTGTACATACAAACTACCAGGTACAGTACATTCAAGTACTTTAATAATGCATTGTACCGTACCCAATACCCAAAAGGGTTATACCTTATTTCTTGCCATTGTTATCATTTTACATAAGAAAGTAAAGATAATGAAAACAGTCAAAACTTTGACGAACCAACAAATTTATATGAAAGTGTAATAATTTTGATTTGTATCTTTTTCTTTAATATTCAATAATTATTGTTAGGGATGTTTAGTGATGGGAAAAATGCGCATTTTATAATAACATGCGCATGATATAAATTCTCTTTTTTCTGTTTCATTTCGGAAAAAAAATCGTTATGATTCTCGAATTTCGGTCGCGACCTTGCTCGTCTTTGAGGTTCATTCATTTTCTTTTCGGAAATTTTCGTAATTTTTGAAATTTCTATCCTCTAATTTCGCCCGGCATTATGCTCTCTGGCCTAAATTACGTAGCCTAACTAAACATATATAAACTCTTGATGGGCAAAAATGCGCATTCATACGCATGTTTCAGGTATCATGCACACGCATGATACCTATCTCTAGTGAATACACGTAGGTCACCCAACTATTGCTGCGGAGATACTAAGCTCATATCAGCTTACTCACCTATTTTTTTTTTTAATTTAGAAAATATATTCGTCGTTAATTTGGTGTCGACAAAAAAATTCAATTTCTTATATTAAATAATTTTTTTTTTTTTTAAATAAAGTATGATTTGATTTTAAAATATATTTGTTTATTGTATAATATAATGAAATTGTAACGATTTTTTATTAATAAAGTAAATAAACTTGTTATTACGTAATAATAATAAAAAAATCAAAAGTGTTGTTATAGCGAGTTTATACAAAAAAAAAGTTAAAGATTTTTTGATATTATTATATCTATATGTCAGTATAACCAGAGTAACGTGTTAGATAGTAATGCTTCTATAACAATACAAGTAGTTTGCGAAACTAATTTATCAAACATTAAATAGAATAATTATTTATCAAATACATTAAATAATGTAATATATTTATTTTCCGTAAGTTTACATAATTCAAAATTGGGTAAAACATACATAATTACACCCAACCCGAATTATAATCGGATATAGCTATTAATAGAATAATTTGAAATATTAAAATTATTGAAAGTTGAATGGAAAAATTATTAAAAATGAACAACTTACGTAGCATCTATTTGAATCAGTTGAGGTAAATATGTTTTTACTTTGAGTCTATATATAGATGAGTTTTCTTTTTGCAAAGGATTTCCTTCCAGATAAACAGTTGTCAACTTTTGAAGAGGAGCAAGTTGCGACGTAAGTTCTTCAAAATCAGACAGATAATTATTGCTAGCCTACAAAAATGAAAAAATTAACTAATTATAATAAACAAATGATATTATTAATAAATATCTACCCAAAATTCTTCCAAATTTTCCAAGTGCACGATATTTTCAATCTTCTTTATTTTGTTATTACTAATATCGATTATTCTTAATTTCAACTGCCAATTTTAAATAAAATAAATTATTCAATAAATAAAAGGAGCTATTTACCACCGAAGTGCAATCACGTTTAACGTAAAATCGCAAAAATCTCTAATTCTAACTTCAATAAAATTTGAGCATTGTGATTTTTACGTTATACGATCTATTTGTTGATCGCACTCTGATGACAAGTAGTGTTGTAGGCGAAACCCTATTATATTAAGATCAAATTGTGCGAAATTAGTTTCGGACTTATGGAACGAAACTGACATAGTTTCGCCTACAACACTAATGACAAACATATTTTTTAAAAAATATAATAAATAAAATAAATAAATAAATAAAAATGCAAACATTATTTTCAAATCCTTCAAGTTTATTTATGCCATTATGGCTCATGTAAATCTCTTCCAAATTAATAAGCCCCTCTAGCCCTTTTATTTGGGTCAACCGATTACTTTGAATACTTAAAATCTTGAGATTTCTTAAATTTTCAAGATTCTGTTAAAAAATATTTAATCATTTAATAATTTAATGTTTATATATACAAAAAAAAAAAAAGGAGACTAAATTGTAAATACCTGAAACTCAGAGATTTTATTTTTGCCAAGCCAAAGCTGTTCCAAATTAACAAGTTTATCCAAATTTTCAATGACCTGAAATAGAGTATTTTATTACTAGATAATTCAATTGCTCGAAAAATCAAATCAAATTTTAATATACCCGAATGCGATTTCCACCAAATTCTAAATTGATTACATTTATAAGTGAATCCAAATTTTTAATATTGGATATTTTGTTTTGAACAAAATATAGGTTTTTTAAACAAGTAAGATCTTCTAAATTTTCAATCACTCTAATTTTGTTATAAGACAAATCTAGTGATCTAATAATACATTCGTTTTATTCAACATATTGTTAATTCAAATTATTTGAAATATAATGCTTTTTTTTTTTTTTTATACTCACACTAGATTTTTTAACTGATTTAAATTTTCAATATGTGATATTCGATTATCATAAAGATCGAGATCCTCCAAGTTTGTTAGTACATCAAAACCTTCAATTTTAGTAATAAGATTTTGTCGAAGGCATAATTTCTGTAATAGATCGATTAAACAAATGTTGGGTTATATTACATAAATCAGAGAATTAATTTCTTATACATAATATTATTTACCTGTAATTTTTGAAACCGAACAAGATCTAAACCAGACAGGTCTTTAAGACGCAAATGTGATAACTCGATTTCCTTAAAAAGAGTGATAATCAACCAATGACTTCAAAATAGCATCTAAAAATGCTAAACTTCATAAAATGGTTGTACCTCAGCGTCTTCTTCATATTCACCAAGAATGTCTGCTGTAAATAATATAAACCATTTAGTTGAACGTAAAAAGTACTCAATTAAAATAAGCTCAGAGAATGACATACTTTCATCTTGATCTGTTTTAGGAATTTCATTTTCATGATCGTTATCTGCCTCGCTATGATCAGAATTTGCATGTTCAGAGTTTGCATGTTCAGACATATTCGTTTATCCAATCAGATTATTAAAGTATAAAAGTCAAAAAAAGTTATAAAATTTTTACAAAAAAAAAAATTCATCATTTATATGTAGTGTAATGTTACACATATGGGTGTAATCTATTAAACAGCCCATTTT